TAGTAAATTAATTGAATAGTTTAGATATGCATTTGTTTATGTAATTCATTGTTATTATTTTAATTTAGATGCAAGAAACGGGAAAGGAGGAAGATGAGATTGATAGAGCATGTTGTGGAAAAAGGCAAGACAAATGAAAAAAAGGTTATGACCCCAATGTCCAGATTGTTGTTGATAAAATGGTAAGTTCCTGTGAACATTCCTACTTTATTTATTTTCATCTTATTGTTATAGCACCATATGAGCTTTAATCCTTTGAATATTTTGAATATGAATATTTGCTTTCACTACAAGAGATGCAGAAGTCAGAAACTTTAGGAGAGGTCATTTGTGGAACAAATGACATGCTTACCCAAGCCCTAGGTACCCAGGAACAACGTGGGTGTACGAGGGATGGGCAAATTTGTAAGGCCACACCAATACTTTGTCTTACCCAATACCGTGAAGAATACTTAGATGGTGAGAAGAAAAGTTTGAAAAAAGGTTCAACCAAATTGAAGGTGCAATAGAGAAACTACAAAAAGGGATGAATCATGATTCTGAAGGCGCAAGTTGCCAAGGGTGGGGCAAAGCAGATTTTGAAGACAACCCACCCGAGGAATTACTTGTAAGTCTTATTAAATTATAGTATGAATTAAATGTAAGTCTTGACTACAACTAATATATATATAATTTTAGGATACTTCATGTATCTTGCGATTGATATTACCTCCAATATAGTTGCCAAAGGAACAATAGTGAAGCACAATGATCTATCAGGTATTACAAAAAATATCAGTTTTTCTTTTTGACTTTTTAGAATATTGTATCTTAGTAATAACTTTATATAACAGGTGAAAACATTGAAGTAATGATGGAAATGAGTGTGCAAGGAGACGCGTTTCTACTTTTCCATTAAAGAGGAGTTCATTTACAAGGTTAAAGATGCAGTGGGGTTCATAGTGAAGTGGCCTAGACATCTAGTCATTCAATGCTCTGATTTGGTAAATATTTTCATTTTTTAAAGAAATTATATATATCTAATTTAAATGATATCTTTATATTTTTTTGTAGGAAAAAGTGTTGGCGTTATGGGAAAAACGTGTGAACGGAGATGAAGTAGAAAGTAATAAAGGAAAAAAACGACAAAGAGAACTTGTTGAAAAAGAAGAGGAGAAAGGAGAAGGGACACCGAAGACAGAAAAAGAGAAAGAAAAGGAAGAGGGTAAAGGAGAAGGGACACCGCAAAGGAAAAAAAGAGGAGAAAGAAAAAGGACACCGAAGAGGGAAAGAAAGAAAGACAATGAGGAGGGACACCGCAAAGGAGGAGGACGAGAGCACAAATGATGACAAGGCTAAGAGTTGAAAGCAACGTGTTTTGAAAGTGTCTGCACGTATGGTTGATATACAACTTAAAAATGCGGAGTCTGTGAAAGTGCAATGTGAGGACGATATGCTGGGTACGAGAGTTTCACGTATATAAATTGGGAAGATTTTGAAGTGGTTTTTACTGTGGATGAGATGACCGGTTCTGCGATTACTTGTTATATGATGTAAGTGCATAATTTTAATTTTATTAAAAAAAATATATTTATCATCGTACTTGTCTAATGTTAATATATAGGTACTTGTTTGAGGAAATCAAGAATGGGCCAAAAAGAGATCATGGAATTTGTTTATGAGCCGTCTGCAATCTCGCCATCAGGACGTAAGGCAAAATTCAAAAGCGATGAGGCAATTCGAAGCATTGCAAATCGATTGTCTCTAAGAAAGGACAATGACATCGTTAGTGCCATATAATCCAGGGTTTGTTTTTTCATTTGATTATCAATATATTTAGTAACTTAATTTGGTTTTTCGTTTTTATAGAAGACATTGGGTGTTGGTGGTGATAGATATAAAATCAACAAGTTGTTATTATCTTGATTCCTTAGGGCCCACCAATGTCCATCAGCAGTTGAAGCAAGTTATTGATGCGTAAGTAACATGAAGCAAGTTATTGATGTAAGTAACATAAATTATCGAAACATTATAGTATATTCTTTGATATATTTCATCAATTTTTATAGGGCAATGAAATTGTACAATGCTCAAAGTGGATCTACAAAAGGGTTAGCCTCAATTGGATCAATGTTTTGGTGAGGATTCGAACGATCATTCCTTGTTTAAATTGCAGCTTTCATTTGACTAACGTTTATTGTAAACTGTTTGTAGTGTCCCCGTCAGTCGTGAGTACCGAGTGTGGATATTATATTTGTAAGTCATGAAAGGAGATAGTCGAGAACGGACTTCAAGTGCTGGTCAATAAGCATGTAAGCAAACTTTTCTGATATACATCTGTCATATCATATACACATTAGTCACAACTATCATATGGACTTGAAGTAGGATGATATTATTGGAAATTCATCTACGATACATCTTGTCTATTCATATTAATAAGAATTGTCATGCTCTTTTTATTATGCTGAAAAACCCATAGTTAGATGCTATTATAGACTTCTAGTTATCACCTTGTAGTTTGAAAGTTCTTTTTTTGATGATTCACGTTTCTGTATGGAATGGAGGTTATCGTTTATAATTTGAAACAAATTTAAAAATATTGTGAATTTAACTAGTGAAAGATTACTTGATGGTAAACTTCTTGTTATTTGCTTCTATATATTGATAGATTCTGTTGTAATTAATGAGTGAATTCTTGAATCTAATTACACGTTTTAAGCATGTGGCAATCGATACTATTTGTCGATATATGAATCATGTCTAAGGGAACAATTTGAAATGTTCGGTGAGTTGTGAAAGCATTTGACACGTAGTAGCACTTAAATCCAAATTTGATTTTGTCAAGTACTATAGAGTAACAGGGACTCTCTTTTGGTTATTATTTGTGATGATATTGTTGTGAACAAAGTTGGAATTTTTTATAATGCTATTGATTTTATGACTTTGCATAATGTTACTATGCTTCAAAGAATGCATATGTAAAATTGGTCATTTTGTACTCTTTAATAGTTCTTATATACTTCACTTAAATAAGTATAAATTATATACTTATTTCATATTTTTTACTTAGGTTGGCGATGGGAAAGAAGAATACACGGATGATGACATTGATGATTCGCAAAGAATGGGTATCTTATGTGCAAACTTTATTATGCCTTGATATTTTGTATCGACATATGATTAATACAATTTTTTGATAACTTAATGTAAATATATTGTATGCAAATGGATTGCTTATATATAATAGGTACATAGATTTAGTATTATGAGCATTCAATGTGATTAGTTTGATTATTTGTCCATCTACAATATATATATATATATATATATATATTAATTTCTGAAATACAATCACGACACACGAACGTTTGTCGTCTTTTTAAATGACGTGTGCTTCAATGACACGCAATGTAAGTCATATATGCGTGTCATAAATTTATGACACACAAATGTATGTCAAACAAATTTATGACGGGGGCTTCAATGACGCGCAATGTAAGTCATACATGCGTGTCATAAATTTATGACGCACAAATGTGCGTCATCTTAATTTATGACGGGGGCTTTAATGACGCGCAATGTAAGTCATACATGCGTGTCATAAATTTATGACACACAAATGTGTGTCATATTAATTTATGACGGAAGCTTCAATGACACGCAATGTAAGTCATACATGCGCGTCATAAATGCGTGTTATAAATGTGCGTCATAGATTTATGACACACAATTGCGCGTCATAAAAAATTCATGTCGGTGGCTTCAACGACATGCTTTGTGTGTCATCCGCACCCATAGATGACGCGCAATGCACATCATTAAAGGGTATTTTTCTTGTAGTGGATTTTTCTCTAAAAATTAAAATCTACACAAACGTGTCTAAGACACATATTACCACGAGCCAAACTGGACAACAGCGATAACACGTGAGAAACTCTCCTTATTCTCTATCACTCAATAAGAGAGTAGAGAATGCAAACCTTAAATACCTAATCTCAATGTATTTCTCACTCAATGTAAGATTGAGCATTACCAACATCCTAATAACCCACTTCCATGATTATATTTCCTCCTCCTTATTCACATACTTTGCATTTAATAAAAATATCCCAAACATTAAAGTACGCTTGATAGTTGCAATTTATTAAATGAACATGTCCAGAAATTATACTAGGCTGCCAGCCGAGAAAGATGCCCTTTGTTGTGGATGATAGGCAAATTTCACTTTCTTTTCTGTCTCTTTCTACCATACCATCATCCTCTCCTTTAGTCCAAAACGCACTTCGCCTCACTCTCTTGTTTGCCTCAATAGTCCATCCCTCCCTGCATGGATGGATTAACGGGACCATCATACAAATTTTAAATTTATATTAATTTAAATATTTTTTTTTATATTTTTTTATTAATAATATATTTTTATATGCTAAAATTTCATAAACTTGAGCAAACATATTTGTCTAATTGATCAAGCTGTTCATCTTAATGTGTTCCCTCGTTTTCTTAATTGTAATGAGTCTTAAACCCGCTAGGAGCACTCTTCCTTCCCTAGAGTTATCCTTCTCCTTCCCTCTAGGTAAGATTAAAATTAGAATTAATATTTATCAATCTTTTATATATAATTTTATCTCCATATAATTTTATAAGTTTGCATCTAACATAAAATCTTATATATGACATGAACCATGCGATCTCAGTGGTTGGAAAGAGTGTTGTTATCCCTAGAGGTCCCGAGTTCGAGCATGATGGTTGCATGAGTTTTTGAGTATTTATTGTTAAATAATTGAGAGTCTTTCGATAGATACTACATTGTAATCATTTAAGATTAATAAAAAAAATCTTACACATGTACTTACTTGTAAAGAAGAACTCTATCCAAAGTAGGTTTTTACATAAAATAAATAAATCATTTTAAGTTTATTAATTTTCCTAATTATTTTTATTAATTTATATCATTTTAAATTTGAGTAAAACTTTAACATTCTCCGTGTATCATATTGCTTCGTTGTAATTTTTTCTCACAATTTTTAATCTCACTTCAACTTTCAAACCCCTAGTATATTATTATCGTTATACTATGAATGGGATATATATGCATGTACGCACGTATAATGTGCTGTTTTGGACTATTGGCGGGCATAGTGTTTCAATAGGAAAACGATTTGATCAGAAAATTGAAACCGGAAATTGAAATAGGAGAAAAATATATAATGATTGAACGAAAACACTGGTAGGGTTCTTATTTTGATGGATGAGTACGTGGAGGATGTTATTTTCCAGTCAACTTCAAAGTAACATAATTTATCCCTTCTTCCCCTTCCCGGTTCAACCCAATTATGTGTAATCCAATCATTGGAAATGAAAACCGACAAAGAAACAATATAGTAAAGAAGACCAAACATTTAGGCAGAGCTTTGGGTGTCAAATCCATAAGATCTAACCATTTGAACTTCACCACCTTTGGTTGGTGGTGGGAATTCTTCATAAACGGAATTCAATTTAGATTCATATTTCTCTCCATCGCCCCACAGTGCATAAGCTTCCTCTCCATGGATTGCATCATCCCCAGTTTGTGGTTCATCCTCGGCTAATCTTAGCGGAACTATAAACTTGATTACATTACATATCACACTAGTCATGATCACGTTGAGGACGACTACGAATACGATTCCTAGCAATTAAATACCGAGCTGCGTGAACCCGGCAGTGGTGCGACCTGTATGGAACCCGTAGAAAAGACCGATGTAGTGTTGCCACTCGGGTACCATGTAGAAAAGTCGGTTGAGTTTAGGCACCGCAAACACGCCGGTCAGGATGCCTCCAAGGCTGCCTGCTACGGCATACGTGTGGAACACCGCCATGGTGTCATCGACCTGCTTGAGGAACCCTATGTTCTTTGTAGGACCATCATAGTGTACCATGGGATGCTACCAGACATTATCCCCATCAATATTGCCGCCCAACCTTGCACAACACCTAAGCAAAGCAAGATGACAAAATTCCTTGGTTATTATGGATATATAAATTCATCTATAGGTGATATAGTGAATATTACCTGCTGCGGAGATGATGCAAACTAAGCCAGTGATCATTCCCTGAGTAGCTCCGATCGCGGAGGGCTTTCCGAAGAAAATAATGTCGAGCATGAGCCATGGCAATAAGCTCGTAGCTGTGCACACATGGGTGTTAAGGATGGCTAACGATCCATCGGTAGTGACGGTGTAGGTATCACCACCGTTGAAACCAGTCCATCCCATCCAAAGTAGTCCGGCCCCTGCAAGCATCAACAAGATATTGTTTGGTGGGAAACTCTCCTTGTCCTTAGTGGTCCTTGGCCCAACCTTCACCAATATATACAACAATCAACTCAATTACTTAACACTAGAAAAGAAAAATAATCAAAATGATTGAACAATTCTATATTACGTTGATTACTGATTACCCAATAAGCTGCAGTGTCCCAGCAACACCAGAAGACAAATGGATAACATATCCTCCAGAGTAATCGATGATACCTTTCTTAGACAGCCACCCTTGAGGGCACCATATACTGTAGGCAGTTATGGTGTAGGAAAATGTTAACCAAAGTGGAACAAACAACATCCATGCCAGGAAATTGATTCTTCCAAGCAATGCACCAGCTACAAGAATCAAAGTGATAGCTGCAAACACAAACTGGAAATAGATCAAGGTTGAATTCGGTAGATATCCGAGAAAAACCTTCTGGATGAGGTAATTAGCGTCGAGTGAAACATTGGGGACTCCTAGGAAATGAATGAACTTGTCCCCGAAAGCCATCCTGTACCCTCACCCCACCCAACACACGAGAACCGCCGCAAAGGCGTAAAGTGCCATGAAGGCCGAGTTGACAGCCCATTTCTTTTGCACTATGCTACCGTAAAGGATTACGAGACCTGGGACACTTTGGAGACCCACCAGTGTAGATACCGTCAGCTGCCATGAATTGTCACCTTTGTTCAACCACGGTGGGCTAGCCTCATCGGGGTTCAAGTTCGACGGCAGAGACATCGTGGTTGGACCTGGTTTGGCTTGATCTATGCTTTGGATGAAAAGGAACATCAAAGAAAGTGCTTATATAGAGCCAATTTCCATAGGCAAAAAGGCTTTGGATTATGTCGTGTTGTTTGTTGATTTGTTGTCTGTGCCGGCGCAGTTGCAAAAATACATGGTAGGTTCTGTTGTTTCAAGGTTAAACAGGCCAATTTGAGAGTGACTAACACAACAAGAATCATAAAAGTGTTGATAAGAGAAGTTAGGATGTGAGCTGTATTCCTTTCTGTTTTACATGATAAGTCGGGGAATGCAAGAAGCTAGTGTGGGCAATGGATTTCCAGATGAAAATTGATTGGATCTTTGTAGTGACGAAGAGTTCTTTATATGGAAAAAGAAATTCATCCGGACATCGTTCGTGTGTTCAAAAATGATTATTGTATACTTGCTGCTCTCAATGAACTTTGTTTGTACGACCCCGGTTTTTCAACGAATCATTGTGAATTTGAGATAATATTGAGGAGGAGACAGCAACTAAAATGAAAGAAAAAGATTGGGAAACTGGAATCTTCAAATTTGAAATGATCAGTGTTGAGCATAGCTGCACAAAATCCAGTGATTCTCTACCTATTGTCATGAGGGAGGTAACAATGAAATGAGCTTGGACTATTTCTTTGCTTAAAATTATGGGTAAACCACACTAAATATCATTAAATTGCAGACCATGTGTTAATTATATTATTGAATTTTCAATTGCTTCAATTATAGCACTAAATTTTTATTTTGACTTCAATTATACACTGGACTCAAACGACATGACGACATAGACAAAACAACATTGTTTTGGTGTGGCTATTGATTCTCAAAACGGAGTTGTTTTAGACACTAAACTTTAGGGATGTATCAATTTTACTACTAGTATTTTAAACCGTTCACATTTAAGTATTGTGTTTTTTGGCCAATGTTGGCAATGAATTGATGTCCATCATCGACCGCCATTCACAACAAGACTGGTATCAAAACGTTTTTATTTTACTCATCTTTCTTCTTCCATAATTGATTTTTCACAAAGCCACTCAAAATTGACAAAACGAAACCAAAAAAATCTATAATTTTTAGAGGTTTGGGGTGAGTATTCAAACATTCGAACGATGAGAAGTATTATTTCAAGAAGGTGAACAACATACCTCAAAACTAGCTTTATCGATAGGCATTGGAAGATATCAAAGTATTTGCACGTTAAACCTTTAGATTTTCGTTAATTTTGAGTTGGTTTGTGAAAAATCAATCTTATGAGAAGAAATATGAGTGAAATGTAAATATTTTCATATTAACCTTGCCGCAAATGACAACCGGTGACAAGCTGTGATTGGCTGCCAATAATGGAAAAAAAAGTTTCAATGTCTAAAATTGAACATTTTTTAAAGTTTAGTGACAAAATTACCTACACTGTTCAAGTTCAATGTATAAAATGAAGTCATTTTAGACATCAATAATCATGTCAAAATGATGTTTTATCTACATCATAATGATAAAAAGATTCATTCATGTTATAATGTCGTAAATATTTAACAATTCAATAATATAATTGAAGCTAAAATTAAATTTTAATGCTATAACCGAAGTAATTAACTTTTTATATATATAAGTGATACGTTGCTTAAACTTCAATTGTATCTAATGTAGTTAAAATTAAGGGTAATCTATGTCAAATACCATTCATCTTTATACTCGAGATCGAAAATGTCACTGCATTTCAATTTTGCCAATTTTAGCACGGACGTTTATGTTTCACTTCAATTTTGCCACTCTGCCGTTAATCCGTTAACGGCACGATGATATGGCGTTTCAATGCCGTGACGGTGATGACATGGACGGTTTATTTAAGTTTTTTAGTCCACGTAGGATTTAAATACTTAATAGACTTAAACCCACTTCTCCTTCTCCAAGATCCAAATCATTACCTCAAATTCCTCAATTCTTCCTCCAAAACACTCCTCTCTTTCCCTCCTCTTTCCTATTCTCTCTTATCTTTCAAACCCTTCTTTTCCTCTCTCTCCCCTCTCCTTTCCTCCTCTAAGCTCCCGTTTTCTTCTCTTTCTCTCTCATTTAACCGCCCGGATTCCACCTTCAACTCCCTCATCAATTTCCTCACTTCTATCCCCACCACAATTGACGGTGCTTCCTTCCCTTTATGCCCTTCTCGGGCTTCGAATATCGCCGCCTCCTTGCGCCAGCTCGTTCATGACTACGCCTGGGACCCACTGATCTCCGATCCAGTGGCCAGAGCATTTTCTGAATTTGACGAGTCCCTTTTGATTAGGTCTAATTTGGTGGTTCTGTTGTCTCCGGTTTATAGGGAGTTGAATTGGCTACGTGAATTCTTCGATGTGGGAATAGGTAATGAATGTTTGAATGATTTGGGTGGTTTTGTCAAAGAGTTTTGTGGGTTCTTTGAGAGTGTCAATGATGCATTTGTTGGGAGGGATATTCATTATTTTTGGGTTGATTTGAAGTTTCAGCCTTTGGAAAATGGAGATTTAGAAAGTTTGGGGTTTGGTTTTTTAGAGAGTGGGATTAGGAGTTTAGGGTGGGGAATTTTTTCTTATTCTATTGTTTTGGGTTATGCTTTTATTCCTTTTGGTTTGATTTATCCTAATATTTCTTTTTCGTCGAACATTTTTCATGCCGATGCATCTGGTAGAAGGAAAGCGCAATTAAGTCTTGAGATATTAGATGCCAATGGGAAGCCATTAGAATGTAAGTGTTGTGAGCTTGAGTTTGTTGATTTCGAAAACTGTTCAAGTAATCAACAATCGAGAGCTGATAGTGATAACCATAGGAATAACTCCTCGTTGGATCAGTATTTGGATGGAGTAACGAAAGTACATGTTAGAGCGCTGAGGAGGTATGATGAGTGTGAGAAATTAGAGGGTCGCTTATTGAATCCGATCATCGTTTGTGAATCCTTGAGAAAATCTAGGAAAGATCGAAAAAATGATTTGGGAGTTTTATGCTGATAGAGTTCTTCAAATACTTGCAAAGGATATGGGTGAATCATTGGTGAGAAAACCTGTTGTTGAGGCCTCTTCTTGTTTTCTTTATATAGGGAAGGTTACTGGGCATTGGTATCTCTTTCAGATGGTGATTCCAGTTTACATGACGGAATCCTTAAGTCATTCACTGTTTTAGGAATAATAAAACACAAAACTATAAAACTACACCCTTTAGGAATACAAATAGTCATTAGCAAAACTACGTCGTTTTAATAAACTGTTCATGTCATCGCCGTCATGGCATTGAAACGCCATGTCATCGTGCCGTTAACGGATTAACGGCGGAGTGGCAAAATTGAAGTGAAACATAAACGTCCGTACTAAAATTGGAAAAATTGAAACGTCAGTGGCATTTTCGATCCTGAGCATAAAGATGAGTGGTATTTGACATAGATTACCCTAAAATTAATCAATTTAATGGAAGCCCTTGGCCCTTGAGTTTTTGTCTTCAAAGGCCCGAACTTGGTAATTCTTCTACTTTTACAATTTGCTAACAAAAATATTAGGTTAAATTATGTGTTAAGTACCTAAACTATCAATTTTAGTATGTTTTAGTACTTAAATTTTTAATTTTTTTCAAAACTATACCTAAAATTTAGTTTTTGTTTCATTTTAGTATCTATTTCAAAATTAAACGTTAAGCTTTGAAAAAAAAATCAAAGTTTAGGTACTAAAATGGATCAAAATTGATAGTTAGGTACTAAATGTGTTAAGTTTTTAATGATGGGTACTAAAATGAAACAAAAACTAAACGTTAGGTATGCTTTTGAAAAAATTAAAAGTTTAGGTACTAAAATGAATCACAACTGATATTTTGGGTATTAAATGTGTAATTTACCCAAAATATTATTGTACTTGGCTGATTTTTTGACAAAAATCCATGTAATTTATTTATTTAATTTTTATTCATATAAAACACTTTTCAATCAACCAACAATTAATTAATATAGTAAGACCCAACAATCAATTAATATAGTAAGATGAGACATTACATCTTTTAAACAATGTTAAGAGTTCAAATATGGATGTTTGAGAATATAATAATTAGGTTAGGATCATCATCGTCTCTTTAGCATCCATCCAAATCAATTGACTAATAAATCATATATAAATAATTATAAAAAAACTTTCCAATCGAGTTTAAACTTAACACTATATTAATATTATTGGACTTGGCTGAACTTTTGACAAAAATCCATGTAATTTATTTATTTAATTTGTATCCATAAACCTAGGGGTGTAAACGAGCCGAGTCGAGCTCGAGTATTGCTGAGCTTGACTCGAACTCGAAAATTTTAAAGGTAGGCTCGACTCGACTCGAAAACTCGCGAGCTAAAAAATACCAAGCTCAGTTTGAACTCGAAATATAATAGTGAAACTCGACTCGAACTCGAAAAGGCTCGAACTCAAAAAAAATTCAAGAGCTTGATTGAAGCTCGAGACTCGAACTCGATTGAAGCTCAATTTTGAGCTCGATTCAAGCTCGAACTCAAACTCGAATTTGAACCTACAAAAATCTTATATTACATTTAAAATATATAAATAATTTTCCTTTAATCAACCATCACCAATACATTTTTTTTGTTGATAATATGAACTCAGAAACTTTATAGGATGCATACAAGAGTAGTTATGGTTGTAGAACATGTTCTAAACACATAAGATCAAACATGCGCCCACACCAGGCACCTATTTACAATCCTCCCAAAAGCAAAACAACAACTTATGTCATAAAAATAGTGTTTCAAAACTCAAAATAAAAAGACAAATCTTCTATAGAAAACACGAAATCCAGCAATAAAATATTTCAATCTACCTATTCATGTACTACAAAACCCAATTCCCTAGTGATGCTTTTCAGTCATAAAAGAAAAACCACGAACACGTGCTGTACGTAGCCAAAAACGGCTTGTAAATGTATGATGGTAAATCTTTCAGAATTCAGACAATATATGAAAGATACCGAGCTTGACATCTTCAAAAGGGCTTCCACTGGCAAAAACTATGTTTTCTCCAGTATACTTAAAAGCTTCAGTAGCAGTGCATTTAGCTGTTCAGTTGAAATGCAAACAGATGTCAAGACGAAATATCTAGTTTTATTAGGAAAACCATACCGCATGGTAGGAGCAAGATAGAGAAAACAAACCATTCATTATGGGATTTGACATGGCAAATATAGCAGGTCTACTTGAACCAGATTCACGCATAGCCTTGAGCACCTGTTTTTGAGCCAACAAAGCGGTGAGGTATACTCAACACAATGCAGAATGTCAACAGTAATCAGAATTTAAAAATAAGCCTAAACTGCACACCTATAACAAATAAATAGGAATTTCCACCTCTTCACCGAACACACCGCCAACTCCAGACAAACCAATAAGACATCAGGTTTGACCTTTTTTACCTGAATAAAAGTCGGTTCATAACGATTAGGTTTTTATATATATGTAAACAACCATGACTTGTTGAAGATTGTACTTATAAAAAGGTGTAGCACAACATCAACCTTTTCATCGTTGAACAAAAAGATTCAACTTATCACTTCAATTATACATGTTGCCCCTCATGCAAATATTGAGCTTACCACTTCAAGAAGTGAGTCGCCATCTTTAAGTTCCCCTATTTGTCCAGGATCTTTAGCAAATGGAACCGCTGTCGGATTAAGATTCTTCCTTTCTTAGTGATGAGACCCTTAACCAACAACAAACAATTAGAAATGTAAATATGTAGCCACCACATGGAGTACGAAATTAATAATACCAGAGGATCAAGTGACAAAGTAGCAAAAACATTTATATTCCTAGAGTCAAACCATAATCACTATCTATAATTTTTCTAGTAGAACTTTTTGACTTGTTTATCCATGAACTCCCCATCTTTTTTACACAAGAGAAAGAAAGATACATATCTAGAAGAACAAAAAAGCCTTCGCTCAAATAGGATGAAAAGTACTAGAGTACAAAAACTGTACATCTTAATGCATAAACATGACTTTGCTCAAATAGGATGAAATAACTAAATTGACTTATGATAAGTAATTTTATTTACTGACAAAACAAGAACATAAACATGTCATCGACAAATATAAAATAAAATTTTATCTTAATGCGAACACTTATGTGACTCTTTTGATGATGCAGTTTCTTCAGTCCCCTCTCACACTTTCTGATCAAAACTTAAATGTGGAAAGCAAACATAAACTAAACTTCTCGCTCAATGATGCTTATAAAACAGTTCAATAATATATAATATGAAACATATACACATTCATATGTTTTGAATCTAAACCAAGTCAAAGGCATAAAGGAGATAGCTTAAGTGTTTACCTTAGTTGTAGTTCATCCTGCTTTGCCTCCTAGCCGTTCGAGCCTCACTTTCAAAATAAGGGGCTGTGTTAGTCAAAAATAAGTTCATCATAAAATAAGCAGATGTGGGTCTTAAAAGTTTACCGTGTAGTGCGTCGGAGTTTAGAGTCGAACTCATCGACCTTAGAAGTTGGGGGTCAGTGTATGTACTCTTAGTGTTTGGGGTTTTATAATAGGTAAGATCGGAGAGTTTAGGGTCAGGTAAGGCTTGTGTTTGGGTTAACCAGTCGTTGCTAATGGCGGTCGGAGTGATTGATTCTGAACTTTTTCACGGCGGCGTTGCTAGTGATGGGGAGAGGTTCTATTTTCATGGTGGATGTGGGTTTTGAGAAGGTCACGGCGGCGGTCGAAGTGTAGAACTCCGTTGAAGAAAGGCGAGAGGAGCGGCAGCTGCGACACTATTTTCTGGTTTGCGTGAGAATGAGAGGGGGAGAGTTGGAGAAGGTGAGGGCGTGAGGCTTGAGCTTGAGTTTGAGCGGTTGAAATGAATATTTAGTTTAGGTTTGTTTTAATTTATGTTCTAAACCTAATTAACTTTGGGGTTACTTATCGTTTAGCCACTGTAACCCTATGGGTAAATTAGCTTCTCTAGATTTATGTGTCTTGCACAAAACAATACCTCAATTGTTTAAATTTTAGCTTAAATCAGTCCTCACATTTAGGCTTTTCTTAATTTAATCCCTGGTTAGGATTATTCTATTTAATTAGTTGTGTATGTTTATTTTGCATGTTGATATATTTATGTATAAGTATGCAAATGATTTATTTAGGAGTCACGTAACATCATTTTGCATAATTTGTATGTTACCTTCATGTGTATAACTTAAACCCTAAATCCTAACCCCTAAACCCTAACCCCTAACACATAAACCCTAAACCCTAACACCTACACATAAACCCTAAATCCTAAACCTTAAATCCTATCATATAAACCCTAAACTATAAACCCTAAATCCTATCACCTAAACCCTAAACCTTATACCTAAACCTTATCACATAAACTTTAAACCCTAAACCCTATCATTGAAAATATATTAAATATTTGTCATTAGATAAATAATTTTTTTATTAATTTAAAATAAATATAAGAATATTTATTCAAAAATAATTTTTAACCATTTTCAATTCAAGAATATTTATTCATCATTAATATATTTTTAATATATTTTTAATAATGTAATTTTAAAAAATCTAAAATTATAATATAATATTTTTCGAGCTGCTCACGAGATTTTCGAGTCGAATATCGAGTAACTCGTTTCGGCTCGTTAAGAACTCGAGTCGAGTCCATTCGATCCGAGTATTTATCGAACCAAGATCGAGTCGATCTCGAATAACTCGTGATCTATCTCGTCTCATTTATAACCCTACATAAACCCTGTACTTTTAATTCGGATGGGGTTACTTTGCCTCGTATATTGAAAGATGGGTATAGAAAGAAAGAAATTAAAGATAAATTATGACCATAAATCACACCTCTTTCAAATATCACAGAATGGTCCCTGTATGTTATCCTCGCTACAAACAAAAATTAATTAAAGAAAAAAAATGTCTAAGAATCCGCTAGAGAACACAGTCCAGGCCAAATCCTGTGGCTGTGGTGTCCGTTTCCCTTCTAACTCGAGTCTGAATTCTCAACTGAAGCATCAGAAAGTCACTAAAATAGTAAAACCAGCTATTCCTATTTGCTAAAGTAAAGATTGCAGCTTTTTAATCTCTGGGTTGTTTTTGCTTGCTTAATCCATGGCTTCTTCCATGCCCAGTGGAGCTGAAATCTTCACTCTCAATAGAGGGGTAACCCCCAAAAGGATTGATTTATTGGGGTCAGATTTTCAGGGGAAACACTTATCCAATCTGGGTTTAATCTCTAGTGCCAGAATGTCCAGGCCAGGAACAAATATGGCCCCGATGTGCAGCTTATCAGCATCGAGGCCAGCCTCACAACCAAGATTCATACAACACAAAAAAGAGGCCTTTTGGTTCTACAGGTTCCTCTCAATCATTTATGACCATGTGATAAACCCTGGTCATTGGACTGAAGACATGAGGGATAATGCACCTAAGCCAGCTGATCTCAACGACAGGAACATGATTGTTGTGGATGTCGGTGGTGGAACCGGTTCACTACTTTGGGCATCGTTAAGCATGTGGATGCTAAGAATGTCACAATTCTCGACCAATCTCCGCACCAGCTTGCCGAGGAAAAGCAGAAGGAGCCCCTGAAGGAGTGCAAGATAATTGAAGGTGATGCAGAAGATCTCCCCTTTCCTACCGATTATGCTGATAGATACGTGTCTGCTGGCAGGTATGTTTTCCCAACTCTTCTGGTGTTATAGGGACTATTTGTTTGCCTGAAATGAACCAAATTTGTTTCCACAGTAAGATAAAATTTTGATTTCTTGTGGCCGGATTATGCCCTTTGTTATTTGTTATGCATGATGGTAAGTTTGCGTGGATGATTTAGAGGAGATGATAACTTGTTTATGTTTTTCCAGCATAGAGTACTGGCCAGACCCACAGAGGGGCATCAAGGAAGCTTACAGGTTGTTGAAACTAGGAGGGAAAGCTTGCGTAATTGGTCCTGTGTACCCTACATTTTGGTTGTCACGCTTCTTTGCGGATGTTTGGATGCTTTTCCCCATGGAGGAAGAGTATATTGAGTGGTTTGAAAAGGCCGGATTTAAGGATGTCCAACTCAAAAGGATTGGTCCTAAATGGTATCGTGGAGTTCGCAGACACGGATTGATTATGAGGTGCTCTGTAACAGGCCTTAAACCGGCATCCGGGGACTCTCCTTTGCAGGTAATCACTTTGTGATATGATCACCGTGTTACATTCCGGTAAGGGTATTGTAAGTAGTTCCCTCAAAATTTGTTAGATAACCATGTCAAGGCTTCAGTGTAAGGACTCATCTATACACATTGGAACAGCCTTGATATCTTTCTTGTATGTCATTAACCTTAGCATTTACTGAAGACATGAGGTCTATCATATCATGTTACTAAACTCTCTTGTTTTTCATTTGTGGTTTGTTTCAGCTCGGGCCAAAGACGGAGGATGTTTCGAAGCCGGTAAACCCATTTACATTTCTCTTGCGCTTTATAATGGGTACTATGGCAGCAACATATTATGTATTGGTCCCTATCTATGTGTGGTTGAAGGACCAAATCATACCGGAAGGTCAACCGATCTAAACAACGACCGGAGCTGCAGCCACTCTTCCGAGTTGCGTATATTTCTTTAGGTATACCGTCTGTAATGTAAGACATCTTCTAGCCAAATAAGATTCATCTGCCCCTTAATATGCCCCACCAATAATGCATAACGCGTGTGTTAAAACTTTTACTGTCATTAACGGGTGTTGGTTCAAGTAATAAGTTACTCGTATTTTCTCTCTCTGTCTCTCATGGATGCTTTCGTGTTGGACAAAAGAAAAGACCAGCATTTGAAAATAATATTGTCAAACGGTTTGAGAGAATTAGTAGACGGCAAAGACACATGAAAGAGGCGGAGAAATTCTATTCCATGCGAGTTTTGTGTAACATGGTAGAGGGTAATTGGCAAATGCTTGGTGCATTGCATGGCCATTCTCATGACCCGCACTTTTCACAAAAATAAAAGGAAATATTCTGAAATCCGAATCAAGAAAAAGGAGGAGGTTATAAATAAGTTTGTAGACGATTAGAAAAGTATTCCTGTTTGAAGCAACTCAAACAAAGAAGAGTCTGGTCTGGTCTGAATTGAGGCCCGGCCCGCCCGCTGCTGCTAGGTCCGGGAATGGCACTAGGCGAGGGAGCCATTATAAATGAAATGGTTAAATAAAAACCGCATGGTCCATATGTGGACTGATTTTTATTGACATGGAATTCATGCGGCTTCCATGCATGTCATTTTCTTTTCTTTTTCTTTTTTATCTTCTTCCTCCAAAGATGAAAATTTTATAATTTCATCCCTTTGTCACACTGATGCTGCAACATCATTCTTCGACGTTTTCTTCGACTTCTCAAGATACAAACAAACTCTCATCATCTCTTTTCATTCTATCAAATTTGATTTTTTTTCAAAATCACATTAAAACTCACAAAACTCAACCCTAAATCTAAAACCCATAAAACCATTAACCACTCTTATCTATAATATCCATCATTCGACCAATGTGGAATCAAGATATACAACTCTCTTCCTCCTCCACCTCCACCTCCCACTATTGAGATTTGAAAAAAATATGCTCCATCATAGAAAAATCAAAAGTAATATAAAACTATGGATTTTTTTTTCCACAAAATTGAAGAAAGTTTGAGGGAGTTTCATATTTTAATGGTAGCACGAACCGAGTGACCTTTGTAGTAGATGAATTATTTTTAATCTTTGAGGTCCCGTTTTTTAGTACCAAGAATGTCAGGGGTGTGAGCGTTCAACATTAAATGATTGAGAGTTATCTTTAAATAAATACTACATTGTATTTACCCCACGAGGAAATTAATGTTTGATAAAATCCCATTTGCGGGTTTCAGTTGAGACAAGTGATGATGAATTTGGGAGAAAGATTAAAAGTGGAAGAAGCAGAGCAGATGATCAGAGAGGCAGACTTAGATGGCGATGGGGTAGTGAGCTACGAGGAGTTTGAAAGGATGATGATGTCCTTTTGTCAAGATCTCTAACTCATTTGAAATTATTGTTTAACTTTCTTTTCTTTGTTGGGGAAATGGAGATTCTTCTTCTTCTTCAACTATATCTGTACCTTGAGCTATATACTGAAAATAACTCTAAGCATTGATGAAGAATGAATATACAATAAATAGTTCAAGCATGGGAATGTTGCAATTTTAGACTTGCCTAAGGTCAAAATTAGTCTCCAATGTTTAATCTAAAAATCATTTTAAGGTTTATTCTTTTTTTAATATTTTAACCTTCAATGTTTTAAATTTTAATTTGAAATGATCATTGTTAAATGAAAATCATTAGTTAACAAATGATTAATTTATGTTATCGATGCGATATTTTTACTCTTTATTTATTAATAAAATTAATCTTTCATCACTCTCCATGGATTTGGCAATGCTTACTACTACTATAAGTTATTTTAAGCAAGCTTTATTTTTTACGGTCTTGACTACTGCATCAAGAATATATTCATTATTTAACATTTTCAATTAATTAATAAATTTTGAATTGAATTAATTGATAATCAAACTTTTGGAAATTTTATTAGCCGTTACCTATCTAACATCTAATTAATTGATCGATTAGTTGAACTAAATTTCAATTCGTCCGGTTAATTCAATTAAAATCGACAATGAACACCCTTATAAAACTATTACTTGACTAACGATCTACGTCAGTTGCTAGCATGGTTTTTCATATGTGCTTATTAGTGATATGAAACATGTTATATCATCAGTTTACGTAACATATATCACATCATTTCTTTAGATAATCTGACACATACCATACTATCACTTTGGTGATGTAATATATGACATGTAAACAATTAAACACATGTAAAAATATATATATAACAGTTAATAATAATTTTATCCAACAAATAATATTTTTTTAAAAAATACTAAATACTCTAAAAATGAATAAGTCATTACTATTTGTATAAGCATTGCCTTTATTTCATATTATGGTAAAAAAAACTACTAGTAGTAAGGTTTATTTCTAGGTTTTTTATTCTAAAATTAATATATTATTATTTTTTATTAAGTAGATAGATATTTATATTTCTAAAATAAATATCGGGATCTAAGTTCATATATATAAATTAATATAAATGTTTTAATTACTCAATCGATTAATAAAATAATATAAATGTTTTAGAGAGGGAGAAATTATGCCTCTCACAAACCCTAAACATCAACTAATACCGCTATAGTTGGGGAAAAATCTACAAAATGGACAATTTAATTTAAAGTTAAAAAATAGAGATAATAAAAACATAATATTTCAAATTACATATAATTTAAAATATCATATTCTTTCTTAACATTTTCAATTACACCTATTTAAAATATAATTAAATCTAATTATCATCGTTTCAAATAGAGTTTAATTTAATTTTTGGCATTTAAAAGAAGTTAAACTTTCTTTTTACCATAAATATTTGATAATAGTATTAACGTTGTAGTTTACATGTATTGCATGCTTTTTTTTTTTTGAAATTATCAATTTTCATTTTTAAAATATTTTTATAAATTTTAAATTATTTGTTGACATAATGACATATCAAATTAAAATAATCATAAACTATTATCTCAAAATCATTAAAAATATCGATTAATCCGGATTGAGTACTGCACAGGCAAAGACGACCTTCCCAACCCAGTTTGCTCCATTCACAATCGTCAAGAATTGAATCTCTGACCTTGCTTAAGAGATTTAGTATCTCATCCTATTAGACCAACCTGATTATTGGTTAAAAGACAATTTTAAATTTATAGAATAAATATTAAATCCACAAAAGAAATAAATATGGATAGTTAAAAAATTGATATTTTTTTATTTTTAATGTGAAAACTAATTAAATTCCTCTAGAAGATGTGGACAAGGAAGCTGCCACCGGCTGCTGTGGTTGCACCAAATTCAGGCTTCTAATATGAAAGCAAAAAAAGATAGTCAACACCACCGAACCTTTTCCAACGTAGCTAGGAAAAAAAAAGGTACACTCATTATGGAAACAAAGAAATGAATGAGCAAGGAAAATGCATATATTGGCCTGCGATCGAATAAAACTCTATTTTTTTTTACCGGAAATGAGGTTGAATGATGTAGATTTCAAAGAAAGGCTCTAATATGTTGAATCATATCGTGATCCCAGCAACAGGTGAAGCTACCATATGATCCGATCTCTCCCTCAACACAGAAGGAAGTTTAGATCATGCTGGCAGCTTCAACTGCTAATAGGTGCACGCCACCCGAGCCGGAGATAAACAAATTATCATCTGAATATTTATCAAAGAGAAGAAGAGAGTGTGTATATATATAGATATACACAGAGGGGGGGAGAGGGGATTTGAGTGGTTTTCGTGATATGTTGGTTCATTATTTATAACCAAGAGTAGTTATAATGAAAAAGGTTGGGAAATAAAGTATAGTTAATAATATTAAAAGGGTTAGTTTTATATCTTTTTAAGATTGTTGAATGAGTAAAAATAGACGATTTATATTATTTTTTCAATAAATATCTTCTTATTTTATATTGTTAACCGTCTATTTTTATTAATTCAATAATTTTAAAAATATATAAAACTAAAAAAATATACTATAAGAACAGAGCTACCTCATATTATAATAAGAGAAGAAATGATAAAAGGGGGGGGGGCGGGGTTGGGTGGGCAGAGGGCAGTGGTCCAAAGTGAGACGGAGAATATTATGATGGCACGCCAATGCCATGCAGACATACAAAGGCAGTGCGAGAATTTCCAAACTTTTCATCGACCCCCTTTGTCAACTTTAGGTGGATCTCCATTTTTTTATCTGTTCTCAAAATGAGAATTGGTGGGAGTTATTATTATTTATACATGAGATGCTTTGCTTCTGTTTGCATCTAACCGGTGCCAATAATAAGAATTCAAAAGAAAAAGAGCCCTTCATTAAGAGACATAATCTTTGATCAACCACTTAAGAGTCCAATCAATAGAAAGTGATACAAAAAAAGCTTGTAAAGTGCTGATCTTGACATTTCTCATGATTTGCTTAGATGGAAATGATTAAAGTAAATAAATTGTTTTTAAGATTTTAATATTATATGCTTTTTATAACAAACGAAAATTAAGTAAACTCTTTGTTTTGATGCTATTGGTGGTAGGTTTGCACAAGGGAACCAATAAAAGGATGCCGGAATCAGCATCAGCATCGTAAAAGGCATCCAAATTTTGGATTAGATTTCTTCTTCAGAAACACCAAAACTGGAAGTTCCTTAGAATTCTGCTCAGATGGAGTGTTAAAGAACAGTCCAGGGGTACATCCAACCAAATTGGGGAAACAAACTTTTTTAGGGAACCAAATTTCTTAAAAGGGTTGTAGGTATGATTGGATAGACAAAAAAAATTATAATTATAAAGAGAAAAACCAACATAAAGGCATGTATGCATAATCACGAAAAGCTTAAGATATATATTTTGTTCAACAGATATTAATAGAGATATGAGAGTGATTTTCTAAATACAACAATTTTAAAGTTTTAGTCTTAATTATTAAATTTAATTAATATAATAATCTTAAAATATAATAGTAAAACAAGGGATAAAGAGGGGAAGCTGTTAAGGCCATTGATATGCCACATTTGAGAAGAATAGAACCTCGTAAACTTAGAAGGCAAGGAATATATGAGGTTAATAATTCACACACACGTAGGGTACTTAAAATCTCACATTCAAATGAGTAAATGTAAAGTTACAAGTAAAACACATTGATCAGCACCACCCGGCAAAAGCAAGAAGGCATAATAATAAAACAGAAAGGAACAAGTAAAAGTTGGGAACGCATGCTTTGAGCCTTGACATTTAAAAAAGGAAGGCAAAGCAAACCCTTTTTCGGTTGAAAGGCAAAGCATATGTTTATTTACTTAACACACAGTCGTTTCTTATAATGAGTTTTTGCCTTTTACTTCAATTTTTGGTGGGAAGAGATTGGACAATTCCAAGCTACCGTGTCCTAGATAGTTTCTTAAAGAGTTATAACATCTTCGGTAGACAGTTTCTTTAAACATCTTCGGTGTGCAAGCGATGTATATTTGTTATGGCACGTGCCACTGGTAAATTTCAATTCAACATGATACATAAGCACTGAAGATTTGGGGATGAAGCAGCTGATGCAAAAACTCACCTAGGTACACTGCATCAAGGGAAAATTAATAATCAAATTCTCGAAAGAAAGCAAATTATGATCCACGATAAAAATGGGCAGCGACTGCCCGGTTGTGCTAAAAAGTTAGCCGAAAGTAATACATCCCTTCGTCCATGATAGACAGACCAATTCCACCGAACAATCCAATTCCAATGCAATTTGTTTTTCTGCTATACAACTTCATTACACACCGCTAACAATTCCGTCTATTTACATGCAAAAGAAAGAAAAAAAAAAGAGCGATATTTTCAAAATCAATGTCCTCCGGCTGTCAAAAATACAACAAAAGGGTTGCCTGAAACCCACCCTTGCGGTGGAGAGGTCAAAGCCATCAAGTTCTTTTGTAACTTTCAACATAAATATAATATAATGGTAGGCTGGAAGAAATTTTCCCCACGTCTCTATAATTTATCCCAACTTGTCCACCTGGCCAGCCCTGTTCTGTTGTCTTGCTTGTCCTTTCATTTTAATGTTATAAAGAACAAAGAATCACTTCCTCTCACAAAAGCTTGCACAGACCTGATTGGGGATTTTAAACCCCCCCCCCCCCACCCCCACCCCCCAAAGTCGATCCTATAGCTGACAATCACGCAAATTTTACTTTAACATCGTTACGCCCGACTGAAAGAAGATTTTAAGCTCTCGTCCGGTAACGTCCAAGACAGCAAATGCCCACTAGAATCACCACTCAGCAGCTGCTTCAAGTCACTAGTTAAGTGAAGAGCAGTAACCGGATGCTTATGGAACTTCAGGACTTTTTGGAGCACCAATCTATATTCTGGAGGCTTATCCAAATCTAATCCTCCTGTTCCACTGATATTTGACTTGCCGGCAGTCTTGTCTTGATCGGTGCAGTGAACCATATGCCAAACCTTAATAGCACCACTCTGGTGACCAGTTACATACCAGTTTGTGTCCTGACAATCGGAGAAGGTACAACTCGTAACAGAAAGTATAGAATCAGATGGCAGCTGGGATGTACTAATTACTGCGAGACAGTCCCCATTGATGCTCCAAACAGCAAGTAAAATTCCAGCAGCCGTCACAATTTCCCCAGATAAATCATTCACATAGACAGCAGAAACTGATGCTGGGAACTCAGGAAGCTGCCTAACAAATACTAATGAGCTCAGATCCCATAGGATAACAGTACAGTCATCTGATCCACTTACAATCAGCATATAAGGCTGACAGACACGAAGACACGTGATTTTAGCCGTATGACCACAAAGCACTTTTTTTAACAGCAACCGTCTTACTGCACGAGACCCATCCTCACTGATTCTCCAAACAGAAACTAAACCATCACCAGCCCCAGTGACCAAAATATGACCATCATGGCTAACACCAGCACACTGAATTTGATTTCCACCATGAAGATTCTCATGTGTTGAAAGGAGACGATCTTGGTCATAACTCAAAAATCTCAAGCTGCGATCAGGAAAACCCCATGCAACATATTTGGTATGTGTTCGAGGTTTGAGCAAAGTGTTTGCCCCGGCAACAAGAATTTTCTCATTGAAAGTGACAATTTGATTAATGGAAGAAGAGCTTTTCCGAATTTCATGCGGAACAAGAAACGTTGAATGCTTCAGCGGATGAGGAGGAAGCTTTCTATCAGATTGCCTTTTAACATGGGGTTTGAGAAATAGTTGCTTAGGTGTCTGTCCAAAATGGTTGATCTGAGCTAGAATGGAGGCTTTCATTGAAGGGTCTGTAACTGAGTCTATGTCTACACTTCCCTCATACGTGTAATGGTAGAAAACATTAACAGCTTCTTCGGCTGCCTGTCAGTTGTAACAACAATATACAGAATTAAAAGAAGAAACCAGAGAAGATTAAGATATGACCTTGGAATGACTTGGGATTTGATTATATAAGGGTAAGTAAATGAAGTCAATCTAGGAACTAAAAGAGAGAAAACAAACAATATTTCCAACAGAAAGGACAACTTTTTTTAATTCTTAAATAGTAGCCATCAGCAACGGCAGCTCACTCGGTACAACTCCAAAGGAATCCAGAAAAAAATACAAAAGAAAATCATATCAGCGGAATTCTATGCGACTTGAAAACCTTTTCAAGATGTGTGTGTGTTAAAATCAGTAGCAATCTTTAGAGATTGCATGAAATGGAGGTTAAAATATGCTTTCAAAGCCAATATCAATACCCACCTTTCCCCTTTGTTTATATCCAAAAATGAGGTCTATCCAATGGTGCAGATTTTCTGAGACAAAATCAGATTCTAGGGCTTCTCTATGCTTCCAGATGAACTCCCTAGCACTTCCTTTAGCCCAGGGAGGTAGGAGAACATCACCAACCTGCAGAATACGAAGAAAAGAAAAAACATGAATGAAAAATTTGAGACAACTTTTATTTTGCACATTACCAAACAAAAAAATAAATATCACAAACACGATTTATTTTTTAAAATTTTAACCAATACCTTTTCCCCCGACTGTTTCTCCCCCAAGTCAAGGTTGAAATGATTTTCCAAAAACTCAGGCATGTAAAAGAATTCTGGTATCAGTTCTTTCACATCTGATGTGTTACCCTTCCCAGCAGCACTCAGCCAAGTGTCTCTTATGCAATTGAAAAGACGATCAGCGTGATCGAACTGACCACCCTGTAGCTTCTGATTTTCCACACTAAATGGAGGCAAGCGAAGAAGATAAAACAGAACAATACCAGCACTAGAATAATGAGAACCATAATGAAACTTTGGGACTTCTGGGTCATCCCAGCTCTCATATCTGAAAAATAAAAGAACTGAATGATAAGCAGTATATATGCATACAATTTAACATTTAAAGATGAGGTTAAACAATTAATCTAAAAAAGGATGTAGTTAAACAAGCATGCCTCACAATATAAGATACAATTTTTAAATAGTTGTTTCTTTTAATTGAAGGTATTTTGAAAAAAATTAGGATTGACCTTCTCTTAAATTCCCCCACCCCTTCAGGTGTCTGACAGCCCATTGGTTTGTCAAGCTTGCGGAAGGTTTTGGGATCTGACAAGTCCAGATTTTCGCTCTCATAGTCAGCAAGAACCCATGGAAAGACTGGGTATTGGGTAAGATCACTGTATCCACGTCCAGCCAAGGTATTGAGATGCATAAGATACTGGAAATTGCTGATTTCTCCATTTTGCCACCTTTTTGAGAAAGATTTAGCCGTTATTTTAAAGAGACGACCACCTTCATTGCTTTCCTGTTTTGTTGATCCTGAAATGGTTGTATCCAACCTGATACAAAAAAAAAAGTACAGCAAAGTAAAGTTCATGAAAAAAAATACTTGCCAAATGCATATGACATAAGGAAAGGCAAGCAACTCTAAAAAAAACAGGGAAGACAAAGGGTTGATCTTTTTGTGTAACATGATATTGCAGCTCTCTTTTGAGAAGCAGCTAATATCACATCATAAAGTCACCATTGAAACAAATTTAAAAGATAAAAGAGAATAATGAAATTCCAGGTTACATACATGCTGTTCCTTGGTAGATTCATTGCAACCAGATTTTTGAATACTTCATCCCTCTCTCTTTTGTGGAACACCAGGAGATCATTACATCCATCCATGCTGAATAACTCAACAGCAACAGGGCGTAGCTGGTAATCACGCTTCAGAATCTCATGAACACTATCAAGTTTCCACATACGCCAAGCGTGAGGTAAATTGCCACTGCTAATCACTTTCTCCTTTCCCCATGCACCACCGTTGTAGGCCCAGGCCCTTCCCCCTACCAATATCTTTGGTGGTGAGGCACAGGATGAAGTTGATTTTGACTGGAAATCCATACAACCTGTAACATCCTTCTTTACACCCAATGCCTGATCAATAACAGAGAGCTCGTCTTCACATTCCTTCTCACATATGCAGCCAGAACTGTCGATGTAGAAATTCTCTATTACATACAAACAAAGTTCCCCTATCAGAAATATACCATCATGCTTGTCAAGACCTACTACTCGCTCACAATTATATCGGAATCGTATCTTTTCAAGAGGTTCCAAATAAGGTCTGATTAAATATTCACCATTATCATTTAGTTCCTTATCTGATTTATCCTCTGCAACTTTGACTTCATCTATTCTAACAGAAGATGACTGCCTAGGAGATTCATATTCAGATTTTCCAGGTATGCTCTCTGATACAGGGACAGAGACTGCACTGGATTTCCCACCAAACTCAAGGGCTGAGTGAAGACTAGCTTCATTCACACTGCTAGCTCTGTCATCATTCCAGCCATCTCTAACAGATGTTACGTCCTTCACGTCATCCGACTCTTTATACAATGATTCATCATATAGCTCAGAGTCAACACCATTCTGTTCAACACTCTCATTCAAAAGATTGAAAATTACTTCAGAATCGGAATCAGAAACATCTGGACTACCCTCATGTTTGACTTTGGAGAACCCTGTCTTGCCTAATTCCAATTGCCAATCAAGAACATTTTGGACACTATCAATCTTCAATTTACAGCGTTCAAGCTTTTTGCGCATCCTGTATGGACCCTCAATGGGGCAAAGTTGCCACTGAGGATCTTCTGGCACAGAAGATTTACGAATTGGGAATATTCCTCGTTCATGTACTAGTTGTTGGAGATGGTTTTGCCATTCTCTCTCGGCATGGAGAATCCATCCATACTTATCCTGACGGATAACCCTCAACTCAGTAGACATTGTATCACGAAGCACCTCCAATGCATATCTCCTTTCATTAACTTTCTCCCAGTGTTTCTGGTCAACCTTTGAAGTATCTCGATATCTTCTTCCCATTTCCCTCTTACGACGACCCTCCATGCCTTTAATTCTTACACCAGGAAATTTTGCTGAGCCAGCAATGTACTGCACCCACATTATCGCTGCACATTGCTCCAGTACTCTGTTTACCATCTGTTCAGAGTTCTGAAACCAATCAAAGAAAGCAGATAAGCTTCCAGTCAACAATTTGTCAAAACCACCATGCAGTACATCCAAGTGCTGTCCTTGGTTAGGTTTAGAGACAAGCAGGTCTTCCAGAGAAGCTCTTCGATGAACCAATAAGTACTTGACAACATCAATTGCCATGTTCTGAACATTTTGCCTCTGGTCACGAAGAAGAGAAATTAAATTTACACAAAGACAACAATTTAGATCAGTATCAAAATTGCTTGGACAGAATACAATTCGTCGGTGAGCTACTAATAACTGCAAAACAGTGGAGATATCAGTTCCTGGATCTTCTTGTGAAGAGCTTATTGGCAATTTTTTCTTATGTTCCATTAGCAGACCCAAGGAGGATAGGAGATCATCTTCTCCAATGGTGTTCAGGAACGATGGTAGGAAACAGTACATTATCATCCTATTAGTATTCTTAAGAATTGAATGTACATAAGCATCAATCTGCCTGCTTCCTATTGCAATAGACAAAAGACCCTTGCCTGTACGAACTGCTTCTTCAATCCGACCATCTTTGTTAGCTAATTGCAACATAGATAACAAGAACTCTAGAGTTTTCAGAACACCAGCAGGTTGGGGAAGAGCACCCATGTAAACACGATCAACAATCATCCAGCATAAAGCATCTAAGTTTGAGGACCATTTGGTCTTATCAAGCTTTTTCCCATCTTCTTCATCATCACGCACCAGGCGCCTTTCAACAAAGTTCATTAATCTTGTAAGAACTAAACCTTGGAAAACCAACATAGATTTACCTTCAACATAGAGTGGAACCATTTCCAAGATGCTCTCCACAACTTGTGCTGCTTTTATTTGCTCTGTTAAAACGTCAGCAAGTACTTCAGCTATAAAATCCAACATAGCAGTTGCACCAGCAGAACAAGGGCCACCACCATACCCAGAATCATCCGTTTCCAGAAGAAGATTTGCTGTAACAGAAAAGCTCAAGTTTGCAGCTGTTGGCCCTTGGGAACCTGACTTCAAATCAGAGGATTGATCAAAACCACTAATATTAATAGAAGAGTCCATGGAAGGTGAGGCAAGTGTGGGATTCTGGGATTCATTTTGGTTTAGACTTAACCAAGAAGTCAGACCAATAATGGGAGATGAAGAGGGTGATAGGGGGATTTTGTATTTATATTTATCAGATAAAATTGGAGAATACGGGATAGCAAGAGATGCAGAACTCTGAGAATCTGGCGGTTGAATTGCCAGATCGTCTTCAATACCATGAAAGCTGAACTCATTTGAGCTTGAGGCGGCAGAAACCTGATCAACACCATCACCTTCTACATTCCGAATAACTCGGTCATCTTCCTGCATAGATCTTTTCAGTTCCTCCTGAGATGTAGAATGCTTCATCTCTTCTTTATCTCCAACCATGAAATTTGAAGTGACAGGCATCTCTTCAGAACTTGAACTGACTTGTGCTTGAGGAAAACTTCCAGCACTAATTGATGTCTTGGCAGATTGTTCCTGCTCCACTGGCAAGCTAGAGAATGTATTTTGTGAACTAGCATCATCACAATCATTTAAACTCTTCTCTTGTGTCTGTGCGGAGAGCTCTCTTGCCATCTTCACAGTGTGAGCAGACCTGCAAGAAAATGCAAATAAAAAATATAAGATTTCTAGTGAAACAGATTGGAGATCATATAAGCATTATGTTACATCAATAACAGTCTTTTAAGATTCTTATATACGTATTAAATTCGAAATGAATGCAAAACTAAATGTTCAAGTATAAATGGAGAATATATCTCAAAGACAAACCTAACACAAGAAAAATAGAGATCAACGCAGCTTTCTAGAAACTCAGCTCGTTTGCAAACAGCAGAGAAGGTAGGGCACATCTTCGCCAAATCAACCATAAATCTCAAAACCGAGGTTGCAGCAGCAGGAGCAGATGCCTCCCCACCCATCAAGCGTGCAGCATATGTTTTGTGCATGAGAGCTTCACCTTGAAGCTCCCCAGCCATGTCTACATTTTCCTCCACCAGTTCTGCAACAAGCTGGGAAATATTTCCGGTTTGGCGAGCAAGTATTGACTGCATGCTTAGCCTATCAAAGGTAGATTTTGCCATAGCAATTATAGATTCCAATAGTTCTACAAATTTCAACTCCACGTGGCCTCCATCACTTGGCATTAGTGCATGAAAGTCCAGCATGCGGACTTCTGGCAACCTTGGATAAACAGACTTCCCAAATATTAGACAGAACAAGATATAGTATACATCAGGCGAATCATAGAAACTGGGAAGCACACGCATAAGTCGTTGATAACCTCCACTTGTGCGAAATTTAAGAGCAAAAGTGGAAGAAGAACCCAAACACACACCAAGAAGAGTCATGATCCATCTCATACTAGTAGGATGGACAGCTTCATCAAGAAAATATGTTATTAATTTAGAGGAGACAATTTTATGCCATTGTTCAAGCATCTCTTCTGTTTTGATCGTCACTTGAAGATCGATAAGCATCTCCAAAAGCATATTCCTTACAATGACATGCTTTCCTAAGGACTCCCGCAATATTTGATGCTGCGGCTTCAGCTCAGGTGGATCAAAAGTCATAATAACAAACCTAACCACATTTTCTAGTTCAGATGCCAGGAACCCGTCTTCCAATATAACTCCAAGGAGTACAACTAATTTTTCCAAAACCGGAACTTCAACATCACCGCGCTGCAATGTCACCAATAAATGTTGAACAAGGTTGATTCGGCGCAAGACTGTAAGGTTGTGATTCCTGTACCAATGCATGGAAACAAGATGCTCTAGAAAATTTAACAGGGAGATTTGAATAGAAACAGGGGCAGTTACCCACAAAGTCCAATCCAACAAAACATGTTCTACCATATCTGCATTTGACAATACAATGCAGTTTGAAGTTTCAACCGGCATATCAGCAATTTCTAGCTCTGAAATATGACCAAATGAATCCTTTGGGGCAGAAAAATCATCCATATCAACAAGAGATCCAACAGAAGATGTTTCATCACGGAACTTTCCAAAATTTAGTTCCTCGAAGCCAGTTTCATGAGTAGTTTTGGTAGGCGAGGTAGATATTTGAATTCGTTTCAGTTTATTTGGTTCAGAAAATGATGCTTCACAGGCAGCAATTTGGAAAAATATCTCAAGACACTGCATATCAAACAATGACATCCTTCTACGCAGGAACAAAGCTAGTAAATGGTATCCCCTGTATGTTTGCATGTCTCTTACATTTTGAGGATTATGATGAAGTGAACAAGCAAGAAGTGAAAGGGCCATATGGAGCATATCCCTAGTCTCAGCAGCCTCAACAAGGGCCAAAATGACAGACGTCCCACCAATAGGCCGGATGGTATCACCAATCACACATTGCCTACAGATATAGATATCCCCATTAAGACGCCCAAACCTCGGTATACCTGCATGCACAGCAAATGGAAGAATAATTTAGTTCAGATGACTTTTCAAAACAGTTACACATAGAGGGGAGAAAAATCAAAATGCTATTCACCTCCAATGGGAGAAGCAGCAGCTGATAAGGATCAATCAGATTGAGCACGAAAGATGTCCCAGATGCTCGAACAGCCTCTGCACATGTTCCATCAAATGCAAATATGAGTTTTTTTCCAGAGAGCTGAAGCAAAAGGTTCCCTAATCTATCCAATTCCCAAACAATTCCACTTCCATCTGCCTTGGAGTTTTCCTGCTTACTTGCATTGTCAAGCTTCTGCATTCCAGTAGGTATAGACAAGTCAGCACCTAATGAATCTAAGATGGCCATGCTACCACCACCACAAGCCTGGTTGGGAACAAAACGGAGAAGATCTGCATCTTGGAAAAGACCTCTATATCCTCTGCCAAGAATGTACATGACACAAATACAACCTGGTGTGAGCACTTCCTCAAAAAGATAGCAAGAGCGGAGTCTCCATGTGAAGTCGCTAACCCTTGCACGAGTAACTGGAGTCCCAATGGTTACTTGCAAAGGTTTTCCAATGGGAGAGGGTGAATATCCTAATTTTCCTGTGTGCCTTAGCTTCCCATCAAGATAAACATGAGCAACGCTAGCTTGGAATAATCCAGCAAGAGCATTTGGTTTGCTATGAACAACAGCAAGGTGATGCCACCGGCCTTCTTCCAGTTCTAATCCAGAAAAAGACAAGGAGCAAGAATTACTGGTAGCAAGGGTAAGAACGCCGTCCTCTTGAAGATAGAGTTCTGCATAGAAAGTATTCTCATTATTTACTGCACCAACAGAAAATATCCGGAGAATATTCTGGTCATGATGCTGCCCATTTGAGCCACTTTTTCTCTTTGAAGGACCAGCTTTGGTGGGATCCGTTTCTTTTGCTTGCGTTCTCAAAAAGTTCTGAAACTGAAACCAGCAGACAAATGAATATCCAGCAGCAGGAGGCCAAGATCTTTCTCCCATAGACACCAGAACCGAAGCATGCCCAATCTTGCTCATGTCCATCTCAACAAAAGGAGCCAAAGAAACATTTTCCAAGGCTGCATCTTCCATGAGAATTAACCTCTCCATCATATCAACAATTGTATAACCTGATTTCATCAGCTTCGTTTGCAGAATATATTTTACAAGTGTTTGGAGTTCAGATGCCGACAACCTATCAGAAGAAATCCCAACCTCATTTCAGAAAATAATAGATGACAAACAAAAGTAATGATTCCTAGAAATGACCGCAAGGCCTACCTATATGCCCCTAGAACCTCTACAATCTTCAAAGCATAAGAGAGTAATGGTGATGATCCTGAAAGAAAAGGTTGAATTGTCTCCAAAAGAAGTTCCACACAACCTACATACATTGGAAAAGGAAATAGTAAAAAATTATTGCCTAATGCAAAAAGAACATAACGGTATAGAAGATTCTATCTCACCTACAGATGTGAGATTTTCTTGATTGAAGGGGCCAGAACGAGCAAGTTTCCCAATAAGGTCCAGCACTTCGACTTGCACTTTAGGAGTAAAAAGCAACAATGAACGGATAAGAACTCTAACAGCGTCAGCATTGTATATGCGTTCCTTGTCAGGATTAACCAAACCAGATGGAGTGCTTAAAAGAAAACTAATGGATTCTTTTTCAGTCATATCTGATGATATGGCACCCTCTGCTGCCATAAAAGGTGGAAGGACAACCTCAAGAGCAAGTTCGAACAACAGATGTACCACTTGCTTCTCATAATTCACACACAGCAAGCCAGACTCGGATAGGAGATCATAAAAAGTTTGTGATGATATAATAGCATGGAGTTTTGTCCTATTAATAGCATTACCACACACCCCAGCTGTCATAAGGCGCAATAAATATGTGAAGACTTTGATGTAAACTAATAAAGAAGATTCTTCTGAGTGCCCATCACCCTGAAAACTATGAAGGGAGGTCAGCAGAAGAGAAAATCCAGTGGCTTCACCAAAGACTCTCTGTGCAGCATTATTTACTCCCAGAATGCGCCACAAGGCTCCCATTGTATCGCATTTCGCATCACTTTGAAGCTTGTATTGATGTCCAGAATCACTTGTAACCATTCCACTCTTTAAAACTTCTACAAGTGATCCTAATTCTTCAGGATGAGCCTGAAAGTAAAACCCTATGGTGTGACAAATGGGTAATGCATAAAATTTTACAGTTCACCCATTCATGAAAATGTGCACAGGGACAAGGGCATTTTAACATTAAAGAAACTGGAAATTAAGGTCATGGATGCTCAATAAGGTTAGAAAAGGAAAAATGTTAAAAGAGGGAAAGAAAAACATGTTTGAATGTAAGATCTACTTCAAACAGATGAACATGCATTGTAACAAACCTGTGTGGCATCTTCTGTGATCAAACATGACAATATCCGTAGGACTCCAGGACGATGAATATTGGACACCAAGAAGGGGAGAACAGTTGTCAAACCATTCGCAGCTCGGAATGCAGCTTGGTTGGCTTCAGATTTCTTTACTAATGAAACCATACAATCCCAGCCAATAGCAACTGTACTCTCAACTTCAAAATTGGAAACTTCCCTGAACCAGGTTCTATAAGCTTGGGTGAAGTAATAATAACATTCTTATTGTCCAAGTGTTTCTGGAAGCTGCTGGAGCTGGATTTTCTCTCCAACTGATTGGCACTACCACCATGATCCTTTGAACCCAAAAGAAACTTATGTTGCTTCAGATCATCTAACAGGACTTCCAGCACACCTACTTCTCTTAGGACTTTCTTGTATTGTTGATCAAAGGATAGGAGCTTTACAAAAAAAGAAAGGATTGTAAGCTTTAACTCTGATGCAATCGGTTGCTGCAATAAGCAACATAGAGAAAGTAGCTCTTGCTCAGGAACACAATTCACCACAGTCACAGCATATTCAAGAATTTTAAGAATTATCTCTTGCAACGCTGGAGGAAATCCAGCCATATTTAAGATCAAGAGAGGGACAGTCCTCAGTTGTTGACACAATTTATAATTTTCAATATCACTTGAAAATATTTTGAACATTCTGTTTAATACTTCTGCCTGCAAATCTCTGCTTTTGGCCTTGAGAAAAATGTCCTGCAACATCTGAACGGCTTCAAGGTCTTTAACTTTATTATTTTCCTGTTCCCAATTTGTATCACCAATCCTGTCAGCAGATGATGCTTGACTTATGCTATGGCTACTGGCCTTAGTGATAGAATGTTTAGATGTTTTGCTTTCAGCAGGACCTGTTTGAGCTAGGTTAACAAGAATATCAAGTAGCCTAGTCAAAGTGGGTGAGAGATGTTCAGAGGAAGGGTCCTCTTTTCCTAAGAAATCCATTTCAGGTGCTTCATCAGAAGAATGACCTCTATCATTGTCAACCTGAAGCTTCAAATAAATAGATTGAATGCCTTGCTTCTGTGGCATCGAAGACAAAACTAGAACAAACTGAACAAGAAAGTGATAACCATGGGCATTACGTATATCTTCCCTAAGGCTGACACCGCTGGCCTCTACAAAACAAGGAAAAATCTCAAATAGCAATCATCAAACAATAGAGCAGCTAAAAGATTACTTCCTTCAATATCTAAGACCACAGAGCTTAAGATACATCAAAAAGTCCATCCACTAGCCAAAGTTTTCTAAAACAATTCAAAAAGAGAGATTCACAAACCATTTACCTGGCCTATAGGACAATTCCACACATTCAAGTAGCAACTCCACAATCCCAACAGTGTAAGCAGGATCCCCACAATCTGGATTAAAATCCTTCACAGCCATTAAAAGAACTTTAATCTGCACAAAAAGAGAATCAAGCACATTTTTTTATGAATGACAAAGCAACAAGGAAATAATAGGCCAGATACACATTAAGAAACAAATAAAATATAGGTAAAAATTGATTGCATGAGAGCATAATGAGTAAAAATTGTATATAGGTAAAAAAAAATTGTTCCCATAAATTTCGCATTGAAAGAACCTACATAATGCAGAAAGCAAAGCGGATAGAAAGAAGACACTTGACAAGCAGGGTAGAGGCTCTTCAAAATAAATATTTTTTTTTTGATAAGATTTGAAGGTCTCTTTAAAAACCTCCTTCTTGATTAATGGAGCTTGTAAAGAAGCTTCTTAATCATCGGAAGGAGGAAAAGAGTGCCTTATAATTTCATTGAAGAAAATAAGAATTACAACAAGTACATATTATCAGAACCTTTACTATTTCTGTCAATTGCGGAAACAAGAACAAAAGGAGCTGTTTTGAAAGCAGGCATCTAAACTTTTCCATAAGGTGTATAAAATAAATAAAACAAGGAAAACTGCAAACGACAAGGAAAACTGCAAACGAAAAGAGAGGCATATAAACACTATATTGTAATTATGTAGAGAAGATCCAAACAGGCTTGGATTTATAGTCTTCTAAATACAAAAGAACATCTTCTAATAGGTAATGAAGGTTTACTCCTTCACGGTTTATGTTAAGCCTCTGTCTTCAGGAAAAAGGAGAGAGAATGAGCGCGCTAGGTAGAAAGAGAATTAGAGAAAATTTGAAAAAATCCATTGCTTCCGTTGAGGAATGGACTGTGTTCATTGATAATCTTAGTAAAAGGGTTTCTAGACATGTGTTAAGAGATTTTTTTAGTCCTTATGGTCAGATTCTGAGAATTTTCATTCCACGATTTTTAGATAAATCTAACTATAAGTCCTCGACGTTTGCCTTTGTCCAATTTGCTGAGGAGGAAAGTAGGAAGAAAGCAATCCAGTTTGTGAATGGGAAGTGGTTTGATGGGAAGAGAATTTCTGTTGGGGCTGCTAAGTATCTGAAGGATAAGAGGAGGGAAGAGGATATGGGGAAGAGAATGGTAGAGATCAAGTCAGGGGGAAGGGATATTTCAAAAACTGGAAGAAAGTTTGAGTCGGGTAGAAGTATGAGAGATGGTAGATCATATAAGGATGTAGTAAATTCTGAATGTAATTTGAGAAGAGAACTGGTGTCAGGGGCTAACTTGGAGGGTGTTAAGAAGAATGCTCCTGCTGTGAGGAACATTTGAGAGATGTATATGCCATCAAATAACTCAGAATGGGTGAAGAGATCATTAACAGGGATAATGAAACCTTCCTTTGATCTCGTTTCGTTAAAGGAAGCTTTGGAAATGGAGGGGATGGAAGTTCAGATTGCGAGATGGGGTTACATATAGAATGCGTGCATCATTACATTCAATTCAGTTGAGGAGTTCTCTCACGTATGGATGAATAAGAAAAAGTTGCTCTTGTGCTTAGACTGGTTGGCACCAGTATTGAACAAGGATGGAGTTCCGATGGCACTTTGTCAAATAGAGTTGTATGGAGTGCCATTGTTATGTTGGAATGAGTCATTCATGAAAAAACTTTCGGGGAAGTAGGGTGATTTTATTTGTTTTAAGGAGGAATCAGTGACCAGATCGGACCTGTCGTCGGCGAAAGTTTTGCTCAGGGTGGAAAGTCCTTATGATGTCCCTGAGACGGTAACGATTGGCTCTTATGGCAGATCCTTCAAAGTTAAGATTTTGATGAGTTCTGCTTTGAAAAAACCAGAAGAAGCAGGGAGGAAGACGGTGGAGAAAATTTCAAAAAAATGGAACAGTGGTTATGTCGTGTCTAGGGAAGGGGTTGGTAGATGTCCTTCTTTAGAAGCAGATGGGGATGAGTTCTCAGACGATGGTACATTCAAAGTCTTATCTTGGCTGAATAATGGGCAGAACAGTGGTGTGAATGGAGTTTGTGGGGGACAAGTTCCATCGGGTAAGTCAACAGCAGATAATTCTAATTGTGGGCTGTCAGGTTTCTTGGAAAATAGGACTAACCAGATGGGAAGTCATGTGGGCCTGGGATTGAGGGTTTCAAATGAGCAGGTTGACTTTCGTCAGTCAGAGGATAATGAGGTAGTTGTTTTGGTAATGTGGTAAACAGGACTCGTCCTCTGTTCTAGGGTTCTGCTTTGTCAGTTTAGATTAAGTGTCTGTATTTGTTTTTGGTATGTCTTGGTTATGGGTGTTGTAGGTTTCTTTGTGTTAGATGGGGGTGTTGTCCTGGTTGTTTCTTATGTATTTTATGTTGTTGAATAAATTCCTAAGGCACTCTTTTCCTCTTTCCTATGATTAAGGAGCTTTACCCAAGCTCTATTAATCACGAAGGGGGTTTTTAACGAGGCCTTCAATTCTTATAAAAAAAAAGGTAGTTGTTTCACCAATTAAAAATCTGATTCCTAATGAGCCTGCTTATAATATAAAATGGGTTGGGAAAAAGTTTATTCTACTACCCAATCCCTTTTCTGAAAATTCCTTGAATGTTGCTGACGAGGGAGAGGCTGGGGTGATTAAGGAGAATACGCAGGGGGAGATGGAAGTGGTTCCAAGTGAACAAGATGTAGAATTGGAGAAAGTTCAGTCTGCTGGCCAGAGGAGTCTGGATGGAGATCATGTATGTAGCTTTCAGACCCACAAATATGCAGAAAGGGATATAATGTCAGATGATCAAGTGGATGGATTAAAGAAGATGAAGAAGGTTATGGAGGATAAGCAGTGCAGTCATAATGAGGGAAGTGTATCAAGTTCGAGTGTAAGGATCAGGAATTATGAGAATCAAGAGGGAAGTACTTCAAAACTGATGAGGGTGGGTCAAATTATAGCAGAGGAGGATCACCCAGTTCCAGTTAACAATCATGTCAAGTGTAGTTCTCGATCTAAAAGCCTTAAGAATCAGAGGATACTTCCTACCAAAAAAAAGATGAATCAGAGGATATTGAGGATAGCTCCTCATCGCTCAGGGAGTGTGTGCTCAGATAGTGAAGTGGCTATCAGTTTTTATAACAGAGTCTATAGAAGGGTCGTTAGAAGGATGGTCAGAGATTCGGTAGATCAAGATAAGGAGTCATCTCAGTCTTCTCAACCTTCTGTTAAAGCTAGGAACGAAGCTGCTGCTACTAGAGAGATCTGCGATTTGTTGGGAATTACTTTTAAAGGGGGTCAGCATCTATTAGAGGAAGAGATATTTAAGATGGAGATGAAGGGGTCTTCACGGGGAGCATGATTGTTTTTGGTTTGTGTTGGTGTACATGACAGTTATTTCTAATGTCAAAGATTAAAATAATAACATGGAACGTTAAGGGTCTTGCAAGAAGAGAAAAAACCAGAGCAGTGGCCAGACTTGTTAATAGAGAGAAGCCGGTTATTCAATTATTACAGGAGACAAAGCTGAATGTTTGCCATTCTGGTCTATGGAGGAAGTTAAGGGGTAATTTTTTGAAAGGTGGTAGCTTTAATCCTGTCGAGGGCTCGGCTGGTGGACAGTTATTTATGTGGGATGAGAATATTTTTGAGGTCACAGCAGAACATATCTAGAACAGATTCATGGCATTGTCAAGGAAGTTCAAGTTGCTCAACTTTGAGTGTGTTATCATTAATGTATATGGTACATCAGTAGAGGCGGATAAAGAGGAGTTTTTCAGGGAATTGTTGTGCTTTGTTCAAGGTTTAAATCTGCAAGTTTGCATAGGGGGAGATTTTAATGCGTATTTAGATACTGAGGAGAAATGTGGAGTATCTCAAAATTGGCATTGCATGGATTTGTTTAGATCCTTTATACAACATATTAATCTTATGGATCTTCCGTTAGTTGGAGGAAGATTTACTTGGTGCAACAATAGAGATTCTCCCACTTGGGTAAGGCTTGACAGGTTTTTTTTTTTTTGATAGAAATGACAGGCCTCGTTAAAACCCCCTTCATGATTAATGGAACATAAAGTGCTCCTTAATCAGCGGAAGGAGGGAAAGAGTGCCTTATAATTCATTAAAACGCATAAATTACATAATACTTAGGGAACAATCATATAGACTCCCTATACACACCAACCCCTAGCTTAAAAAAACAGACCCAAACATAACCAAAAGACTTTAAAGCTAGCCAATACCAGCCTTTGCTAAGGCATCAGCCTCAACATTAGCTGACCTAGCAACCCATCTAATAATGCCTCCCAAACCTCTTAACTTAGTAACAATTTCGTTCACAAGGTCTACATATACATTGGGACATCTATCATAGTTCTTGATCCAGTCCACCGCAATTTTACTATCAGTTTCAACAATCAAGCGATCCTCAAACTGTTGCTGGATTGAAGCAAAGAAAAACAAACCCTTCTTAATTGTCATTAGTTCTATCAAAATGGGAGGACCCAGACCAGAAGCCTCTTGAAAAGAACCCACCACCGAGCTATTCTCCACTCTTAGAATTCCCCCAACTCCACTTTTCCTCCAATCTGCAGTAACAGCTGCATCCACATTCAACTTTATATAGCCCTTTGGAGGCCGAGTCCAGGCCTTAATTTTAATGACTGAAGATCTAGAATTAGCGCAACAATCCCCAAGCGAAGGATCACAAATAAGACAGTCCATTAGAATAGACGTCTCCTTATAGACAGCTAAGAACCATGCAGCCAGCCGATATCTTGCCATAAAGAAAAGATCAGTCTGATCTAAACTCCCCTTATCAAACACAATCGCATTCCTACATTTCCAGATTGTCCAAAACACCACTCCCGGAATGAAAGACCAAATTATAGAACTAGGCACCAAATCTCCCCAAGCTAACAAAAAACTTTTAGCATCAGCTTGTAAGACTGAACAAACTCCCCAAAATCTCAAAAAATTATTCCAAACCGACCACGCGACCGAGCAAGTAAAAAATAAATGAGAAGAAGATTCATCCACCTTCTTACATAATGGACAAACAACATCAACAATTGCTGAAACTCCTCTCTTCTG